CCTCGATTAAAAATCAAAGTGCCGTTGCGTTGTCAACCAAGCAAAGGTTCTATACACTCGTCGTACGAAACACAGCAGCATTAAGCTGATATTTTGCGTTGGTATTCGGGTAAATATACCAAAAAAAATTTTGAACAAAAAATATGTAGACCGATACATCTTTAAAACAATTCTATTAGAAGAGCTTTAAACACTTTCTGTTCTATTTCTAGCTTTGCAAGCATTTTAAAAGTTTAAGTCTATGAAGACAAACCACCAAAAGACGTGCCAAAAGGAAGTCCCAAGAAAAAAGTGCGATTTCAGACTTGAAACTACATTTTTCTTTGTCCATTTGCAGTGTCCGGCCACAATAAAGGACGAACGCATAGCGACTACGTGATAATATACTATAGTATTTTTAGTATTTAGTTTCAACATTGTATTTATATTACGATCATTTTAAAAATATAACAACAGATTAACGATTTAAATTTATTAATGAAATAGACAACAAAACAAATAACTATCAAATTACGTAAAATACTTAGATATATAATAGTTCTGCAACAGGTTGTTATCCTTAAATATGTCGAAACATTATTTTTATATTAATTAAAGGAGAGATGAACTCTTTGATTATATTTATGACATACTTAACTACATACATATAAACCTATGTGATATGGGAATAAACATCTATTAGTAATAAAGCAAGTTGTTTTATTGCACTTTTGAATATCCTGGATCTTGGGTAAAATATCCGAGCCGGAGCTTTTCAAAATTGATGATGTGTATTTATTTTCAAGATTTTGTTATATCTCCCCTATAAGGCAATCTATGGGGGCGGGCTATGTTCACCGGTGGACGCTTGATTGGCTATAACGATAACGGCAACATTTATATGTTATGTTTAAGAATGATAAAACCTACCCCAAAAAATCAAATGAGATGTCACCCGTGAGACATCTTTTCAAAAAGATCTACTACTATTCACGCTACGAGTCACATTCTGAAACTATACTACTAATATAACTGCAGCGTGGCTCTACCACGTAAAGAGTTCTTCTTAGTTCTGTTTATTCACATTAACTTTTGTAACAATAAAGAAAAATGATACAGCAAATAGTTGCTAGTTACAAACAAAAATCTATCTGCGAAGCTCTTCCGACTTCAGTTCGATTTTAATTTAAACTTTACCGACGTACACGTCCCGGAGTTAATGTGAAAAGAAATGTATTTGAAGTCGGAACGGGAATGTGTGGATGCTTTTGATTGCACTTGTAGGTTCAGTTTGATGAGGTAATGTAACCTTCTTTATTTATATAATTGGTGCATAAGAATTATATATCTTTATACTGGTTGTAAACGCTGTTGTCGATCACGAGTCCATGTTCCTGGGTTCCAATTCTAGGTCGTGCCGAAATCAGTTAAATTGGGTTTTTTTCTCAAGAAATTCTCAGTAGCAATCCGGAGTCATGAAGTTGGCGGTGTTACACCTCCTTGCCTCGGAAATCACGTAAAGCCGTTGGTTCTACGCTTGACCTCCCTCCGGTCACACATTGGACTATGAAAGTGAGGGAATGGACAGTGCACACTCGCTCACTATAATTATGTCCCGCGCAGATAGCTATTCTATGCTGAGACTGGCAGCCTTGACCGAAATTCTGTCTTGAGGACATCATGATCACGTGTGTTTGTCACTGAATTCCTTATAAGCTGCAGGACCGACTTTGTGTATATCTGAGTGGGCAATTGGATGTTTTAGATTTACAATTGAATCCAGTAGATGGCGCTGTTGTCGAGATCCAGAAGTCAGTTGAAAGCCGGGGTGAATCATTAATATGATTAATATAACATCTTTTCAAGACTCCCTTGTTTAACATCAATTTTCTTTGTAATCTTAAATAATTTGAAACCAATGGATCGTTAAGGATAGAGAAAAGAGCGCCAAGAATTTTAAGATTCCTTCGTTGTGGAATATTCAACCATTTAAGTAAAAACGATAGAATAGACGTGGTACAATGCAATGTTTCGCATTAAAAATTAGGAAACTGCGTTAATGCATTAGAAAGAAAGAAACACCTTTATTCACAGGAACTGTACACATCACAATAATAAAAAAATAAACAGTTAAAAGTATGGTAGATTAAAATTATCAGTGATAGGGTGTGTATCGGGCCAGTGAAAAGGTTATGACTCAGCATAATGCTGCAGGGTAACTTGTTGATGATTACAGATTTTCCGATCTGCATTAACGATTAATCCTCAAGTCGCGTCGCGCCTACAGAGTTTTACTTCAAAACCAGACATAACGTTAAGATTCCGAAAATCTTTCCATTAACTATGCTAATTTCTCGCGTCTTACGGCTAACTTACTCTTTTGCGAGTTTTAACTTCATTACTCTGTACTCGAGCAGCGTGTAAATTGTCATCGCATAAATTTAATTTTCGTCTGTGCGATTGCTGAAAGTGAATTACTGCAGTTCAGTAAGTTAAGCAGTTTCCTTTAACTGCATCTAAAACTTTTAACTACTACTTATGGAATATTTAATAATTTAATTACTTCTTCCTCACTTCTTTTTGTACAGCTTAGGACATTATCCTTCGAAAATTTTGTAAGAACTTGGTCGCATGAGGATAACTCCCGTATTTTTTGTACAAAAAATACTAGTACTACTATTAATATTCCCAACATTCCTTTGAACACTCCTTTTATACTTAAAATGATTTGTTAGAAGTGGTTCACGATAGTAGTCGGAGGGCGGATTCGAACTCACGACTTTTTAGTTCGCGGTCGATACACTGCCATTTAAACTACTGGACGGGAGGCATTCCTAATACTTATATATATATATATATATAAATATAAAAAAAAAAAAAAAAATTATTAGAAAATCTCAAGTACCTTCACACTCTGCAATATTATAAAGCGTATATCTCTATACCTTTTGGTATAGAGTACAGAATGACCTTCTCAGCAACGAACGGTATGAATTTCTCCATAGTCAAACGATACGATGGATCTTATTACCTTATATATTAGGAAAATGTAGGGTTAGCAAGCATACTGCATCTATTCACTTCCCGTATCTTATCACGTCGTTACTCGAATCTACATCGAATATAGGGTTGCCCTATAGCGCATGCTAGTTCACACAAATCTCTTTTTTACATTGGTTGTTGGCAACAAAATAAAAATATTTAATATCAGACATTTTTATGTGGTAGAGCCACGCTGCATCTATATTATGGTTGTAGCACGAATTTGTCGGCTCGACTGGGGAATGACCACACTTTCACAGAATACCAGCGTAAAATAGCAGCTTAATACTGCTGTGTTTCGTATGGTGAATGTAGAGAACCGGAGACCCTTTTTTACTGGAAACGAGGCATTCCATCTTAGTCCTCAGGCGTGACAACGCATCTACGGTTTGATGAATCGAGGACAAATGTAGATGTCTGTGGGCCACAGCATCCAATTACCATCTGGTGGACTGTGTGCCCGTGTGAAAAAACAATACATACGTATGAATGTAATTAATCGCGAAAAACAGTATTTATAATCCATAGCGAAATAAGCTTGACACATTGAAAATTAGCGGCTCAAAACTATTATAGTAGCTGACACTTGATTGGCGGTGACCGGTGCAGATAAAGTGAATTCCCCTTATGAGGCAATCAATTGGGAGGCCTATGTTCACTGGTGGACTTTGATAGGCTGCAATGAATGAAATGCTTATTTTTCTGTCCTTTTTTAAAGGAAGTAATAGTAAGGAGTAAATGGGGCCCTACACTCTATTGTGAAGAGTCAGAATGTGTCAAAAAAGACACGTTTGGCAATTCACAATGCTATGTTGGTCCCTACTTTAACGTATGGTAGTGAAAGTTGGATGTGGCAGAAGAAGCACGAGAGTAGGATAAACGCAATAGAAATGCGGTCGTTAAGGAGTATGATAGGGCTGAATCTGAATGACAGGGTGAGAAATTGTGTGATAAGAGAAGAGTGTGGTTTGCGAGATGATGTTGTGACCAGGATTAAGAAAGGAATGCTTCGGTGGTTTGATCATGTGGAAAGAATAAGTGAGGAAAGAGTGACAAAGAAAATTTATGTTGCGGAAGTAAATGGCAGAATCGGAAAGGGACGTCCTAGGCGAAAATTTATCGACCAAATTAGCTATTTATTGAAAACGGGCCAAATTAGGAGTACCCTTAACCGAAGACTATGTATGCGTAGGTATATGGATGTGAAGGAGGCCAGAAAGGTCTGTCAGGATCGTGCCAAATGGAAGTCTGTAGTCTCTGCCTACCCTTCTGGGTGACAGGCGTGACTGTTTATGTTATATGTTTTTTTAAAGGGACTATTTATATACATAAATTTCACAAGGACAAACAGCCACACCCGGAACAATTATTTGTAAGCCATACAAATACTTATACCAAACAGCGCAACTCATTGCTAAGCCACAGGTGGAATCGTCTACTTATTGAAAGTCGTTTATGCTTTTGCCACTGGTTCGGAAAAAGTTCTGCCCTGAGGAGCACTAGCAAGGAACAAAGCCGGACTACTATAAACAAACACGTATGTTTTTTTTTGTGCACAACTATGTTTTCAATTCAAATATATATATATATAAATATATATATATATATATATATATATATATAAGGTTTGAAAAATGTTTTTTTGAACATTTACTTTGCCCTTGAGCCCCTGCGAAGTGGCAAGGTCAACGATGCCTACTAAAATTTATTGTTTTATTGCCGTTAATTTGAGAATAATAAAGATTCACAATTACATTATTATATTTTTTTTTCTTCCACTTCATTTTTTGTTTACTTACTAAATATTGTGTTTTTGTAATGTTAATTTTACATTAAATTAAATATATGGTCCGTTGTTAAAGAAATTCCCAAAATCCAACACTACTCATACCGAAAATGAAACTGAAAGATTATAATAGAAGTTTCTAATAGAAGAAAGAAAACTGCTCCTAAAACTAGGAAAAGGATAACAAAATCTAATGGCGATATCAATATTAAGCAAAAAAATAAGTAATAGCATCAAAAAGAACAGAATTAAAAAAAGAACCAACGTACTCAACTACCATATAAAAAATACAGGAGGAATCAAAAAAGCTTTAAAAGAACTAAAAGAGACAAAAACCTGGGTACCAAATATTAAAAATAAAGCAGGAAAACAGGAAACGACAAGAAGAGCTATAATACAGACAGCAACTGATTTCTTTAGAAAACTTTATGCAGCAGAACAAAGTACCCAAGATATAACTATAAATCTCGATGATGATGACGACTTAGAAGACATACCAGTTTTCCTACAATCAGAAATAGAAAAAGCTGTCAACAGTCTTAAGAACAATAAGGCACCCGGAGCAGATCAGATTATAAATGAAATGATCAAAACCTCAGTTATGTCACCGGAAAAGCTAAGAATAAACTCACAGAAATATATAACTTCATTTTAAGCACGGAATGTATACTATCTCAATGGACGAAGAGCACAATCATACTATTACACAAAAAAGGAGATAGAAACGTAATTCAAAACTACAGGCCTATAAGCCTTATGTCGAACGAAAACTTTTCTCTGCAATATTGGAAAGCATATTTAGGGATCTCGAGTGGGACAATTTTGGCATCAATATCAACGGCAGGCAACTCAATCATTTAAGATTCGCGGATGATATAGTCCTCATAAGTGACAACGCTAATACACTTCAACATATGCTACAACAGGTGACGAAAGCAAACCGAGTAGTTGGTCTTACTATGAATAAATCGAAAACAAAAGTAATGACAAACAGGGAAGAAATTGACATAAAAGTAGATTATGAAGATATTGAATATGTTACAAAATACACATACTTAGGGCAATTAATATCCTCTTATAATAGTCCCTTAAAGAAATATTCAAAAGTAAATACTTTCCTATAACAGCCAAGAAAAAAGTGTTTGACTCCTGTATCTTGCTATGTCTTACATATGGATGCCAAACCTGGGCGTTGAATCAGAAACACCTTCTAAAACTGAGAACATGTCAAAGGGGAATTGAAAGAAGTATGTTGGGCGTGACGCTAAAAGACCGCAAAAGAGCAGAAGATATTAGATCTACAAAAAAGGTGGCAGACATAATTAAGAAAATTAGACAGTTAAAATGGCGATGGACAGGCCATATGGCAAGAAAAAGCAGGATAAAATGGACGCAAATCATAACAGAATGGCAACCACGTAATGGCAAAAGAAAAAGAGGTAGACAAGCAAAAAGATGGACAGACGATATCAAGATTATTGGAGAGACGATATGGACTAGAAAAGCCAACAACAGAGAAGAGTGGAAAGAGCTGGAAGAGGCCTATGTGTCACAGGACACGCTGATCACTAAACTTGGAAAACCGTTATGCTAGATTATAATTAAGTTAAAACAATCATATACTATGTAAAACAAAATGTTTAGAATCAGCAATAAAGGCTTTAAAAAAAAAAGATTCACAATTGTACCCGATATGTAGTACTGTTGTCTTATAGCATTGATATAACGTTTGAGATTATATTAATTCATTACAGACTGTGAGACTTCTTTGTTCAAAGTTTGTTGCAGAAGTCCGTTGGCTATAGGAGCCGCTTACCATCAGGTAGACTAATAGCTTATATTGTTAGGACTATAAATAAAGAATGGTGTTTTTATTTTTAAAATATCAGAGAGACAAGTGGGTATCTTTACGATGTTTTCCTTGCTCTTCAAAAATTTTTAAGAATTAATTGTGACAATCGAGCACACCATACACTTGATGGTAAGGGTATGCTGTGGTCCGTGGACATTTACCTCTATTTTAAATTAAGAATCAAAATGCAGATGGGTTGTCAATCTTGAGGACTAACAAAGAATGCTTTGTAACTAGTGAAAAGAGCTTCCAGTTTTTCGTAACTCACTGTTTAAAACACAACAGCATTATGCTGCAAATATCATGCTGTTATTATGTAAGAGCATTCAGCTATAAAAAGCTTCAGCGTGACTTTTCCACGTATAAGCCATATAGAATGTACATAATTTGGAATTGTAATTTAATATATCTTTATTCTTCGATTCAACTTGACTTGACAGCCTCGTTGGTTTAGATAATAAATGCGACTCTTACTAATTTAATCCGAATTCAAATCCCTGGTCGGAACAATGTTAATGGATTTTTCTGTCAAGATTTTTTTAAAGCTTTCGAAGGGAAGGCACTTGGCATGTTTCTCCCCCAGCTGTTGGTCCTGCGCCTGATCTCTCTCTGGTCGTTTTGGACTGCCATCCTATCGGATTATGAGAGTGAGGGAATAGAGTACATCTATGCTTACACAATGCACTATATTCTGTCCTGCGTAGCTGGCTAGTCTCCACAGAGACTAGCCGCCGTGACCAATGGATCTGGATGACATTATTATTATTTTTGGATTCAAATAAATGTTTGGTATTTTTATTTAAATGTTTCCTTGGTTTTAGAGCCTCGTGGAATTTTTAGATACGATGACCAATGACAAGTGACCCGACGGTATAACTTCTTTTGGGGGAGAGGTAACTAGCGTGGGATGCTACTTGCGTAGACAATGTGGCGGCCTCTCGTCTCAAAGGTAACTCGTTTAGAGCCTGAGCGGCATCAGAGGCAGCTGAATTAAGTACGTGGTGCAAATATGAGTCTCTAAAAGATGACTACATATTTGTGCCATTTGCTGTAGAGACTATTGGTCCGTGGGATCCACGAGCGGAGAAGTTCGTGACTTGTCGCTGCTGGTGATAAGAGGGCTGGTTCTTTTCTCACTCGAAGGCTAAGTAAGTCCATTTAGCGAGGAAACGCAGCTAGTGTTCTTGGCATGATACCATGTGGAGTGGGACCTTATAAGAATCAAAAATTTTGGTTTTAGTTTTTCTTTATTATAGTTTTTTTAATTTTGTGTATAACATTTTAGTTAGATTTAATTTATTAAATTATTTAATAAAGACAAATATATTATACTTTTTAGATATAGTTGTGGTCACATAATTAAGAACGACTTGAAGTTCTAGAAGTTTTTTATTTAAATCATGTTGTACACAGAGATGTGCACCTTCTGAGAAGCAACTAGTTATGTTATAAAATAGCCACATTAATAGAGCAACGTGACTTAGGAATAAAGAACAAAATCGCAAACTTTTTTTTTCACTCTTTATTTATTTTACCAAAGTAACTCTTTAAAATAATACTGAAACTGGACAAATAATTAAGAACGATTTATTAAACTGCTCGGAAATTGTTTTGTATGACACTTACATTTAAAAAATCACAATAATATGTAGCGCGGAAAATTTGAAAAAGCAATTTAATACATATTTAACTTTAGCAAAATAAAATTAATAGTCAATAGCACATCCACGGCTTTTATTTACAGCTTTACACTGGCGAGACATTGACTCTATTAATTTTTGAGATTTAGCAAGAGAAATAGCGTTCCATTCTTCTAAAAAAACGTCATACGGTTCTTAAATTCCCACACTGTGTATTTGAAACCTTTTTCTTTACTTCGAACTACAGATTATCTATTGGGCTTAGATCTAGGCTCTTAGCTGGCCAGTCTAAGACAGAAACTGATTGCGCTGTAAGAAATTCCTTCACGGTGCGTGCAGCGTGCTTTGGATCACAGTCATGCTGAAACGTCAAATAACCGGTAGAACGTCTTCAGCATAAGGTAACATTGTTTCTTCCAGTATATTTTTGTATTGGGACTGATCCATGTTATCTTCTATCAACTTTACAGGTCCAACACCATGTCCAGAAAAGCTCCCCAAGATTTTCACATTTCCACCACCGTGCTTTAATGTAACTGTCGTGTACTTAGGGTTGAATACTGTATTCGGGGGACGTCGTACATATCGTTTTCCGTCAGAACGTACTCTGTTTATTTTCGTCTCGTCAGAAAAAGTATATTTTTCCACTGTCGCACAGTCCAGTTTCCATACTTTCTCGCAAATGCAAGCCGGGCTCGCCTGTGGCAAAGTTTCAACATGGGTACCTTTCTTGCTATCCTACCGTGCAATTTTTCTTCTACCAAACGTTTTCGAATAGTGCGTACTGACATTGTTGAAGGGTTGTTTTCACCAAAATATTCTTTTCTCAGCTCATTGGACCCTTTAAAAGGATTTTGTTTTGCCATACGAACGATGTTTCGGTCATCTCGAGGAGTTGTTTTTCTCTGGTTAGGTACACGTGGAACATTCGAAGCAGTTTGATACGTAACAAAATGCTTTACAGCGTGGAAAACCATCATTTTTGAACATTGCAGGTGGTCGGCTATCTTTTTATAAGACCATTTCTTCCGGCGAAGTTTTATTATTACTTCCCTTGTAGATTTATCACAACTTTAATTTTTTCCCATTGTTTTTTCCTAAGAAGCAATCACTTCCAATCTTTTACAGCACTAAATGGCGCCAAAATTATACAAACAGTAACAAATCAAATGAGTTTTCTCTGTTTAAATTTGAATAAAGGTATAAATTATTTAGCGTTCTTAATTACGTGATCAGCCAGTAAATAGAAACACTATGTTTAGAAGTAGTGTAAAAAGTTTGTCTAATTATTTTTAGCTAATCATGTGTATCAATAAATACAGTGGTATTATGGAAAAGTTTTACGATACCGAGAGAAATAAAAAAAATTGCATGCAATTAGTTTAGTGTTTTAGATTGAAAAAAATCTTCCCCTTATATCAGCGTTCTTAATTATATGACCACCACTGTATATAACATTGTGACATTTAATTAAAAATTTCAAATGAGAAAAGTATATAAACGTAAATATGTTTAATAATAATTATCTTGATTAATTTTGCATATTATATCGTCTAGCCAGTATCAGTCGGCTGCGGGGCACGCGGCACTCTGTCAGTGGGTGAATGTGGTCACTCCTCACGAACGCTGGGTCATTGTTAAGGTCTTTAATAGCTGCCGGTACCTCATGTTCATCTAAAGGCATCTCGGCGATGTCGGTTACGCGTGACATCCATCGGGCTTCCACGCACCTGAGAAGATATCACATCACAACTAAGACAAATTTAGGCTTTAGAACGTCACAGACACAGAGATCAAAAAAAGATATACATATATTCATACATACATACTTACATACATATAATATATATTTCATACATAAACTTGAAAAACATTATACTCCTTTCGGTGCAATCGGGAAACAATTAAGCTTGTCACTAACTTTTTTTTAAATTTATTAATTATGAAATTAACGGCATATAAAATATTGTATATAAAATACCCCGATGATGATAATACGTGGTAGAGCCATGCTGCAGTTATATTAGTAGTATAGTTGTAGCACGAATGGGTCGGCTCAACCGGGGAAGGACCACGCTCTCACAGAATACCAGCGTCAAACTGTGTTTCCTGTGATGAGTGTAGAGAACCAGAGACCCTTTTTACTGGAAACGAGGAATTCTATCTTAGTCCTCACGGGTGACAACGCATCTGCATTTTGATTCGTAATCGAGGATAAATGTAGATGTCTATGGGCCACAGCAACCACTTACCATCAGGTGGACTGTGTGCTCGTTTGTCACCCTATCCTATATAAAAAAATTACGTTAGAAGAAAATGATATATAAAATACACCCGTGGGTGAAATCTAGTTAAAAGTAATAAAACAAATAACATTACTAGAATAATGTGTTAAATATACTAAAACCACACGTGTTAAATAAATATCTTACATACGGCCCACATCTATCCGTGGACGGGATGAATAAGACGATAAAAGGATATTTAGATATTCGTTTGCACAGAAATGGTATAAATTCTATATTAAGGAAGTTTCGAAAGAAGCACATTTTTTCAAACTCGATAGAAGACTAGCGTTATATTATCTGTAAGAAAATTGATGAACAGAAAGTAGGTATTTCATTCACAGCTGCGACTAGCGTTTTTGAAATAAAATAGGGGTGACAGATGGACATATAGTACGCTTGATGGTAAGTGGATGCTGTGGCCCATAGACATCTAACCTCGAACAAGAATCAAAATGCAGATGCGTTGTCAACCCTGAGAACTAAGATAGAATGCCTCGTTTCCAGTGCAAAAGATCTCTGGTTCTCTACACTCACCATACGAAACACAACATCATTGAGCAATTTTACGCTAGTTTCTGTGAGAGCATGGTGTTTCCTCGGTCATGCATTAGGTGGATTATATGCTTGTTATTTTCAACCCTTATTCTATTTAAAAGAATTAGATCAAAAGCAGAATATACTTAAGAGAATACAATCCTTCGTGCACCCATGCAAACGCAATACTCTCAAATCGTAGAGAATTTAAAATAAAATACAAAACACTTATGACTCCTGTACTTGTTCATTAAATGGTGCTCTTTTGTTGCTGTTAGTGGGATTATAAGAGAAATCAGTACTTACGATGGGCAGGGATCGGCTGGTACGAGCTCATTAATTGGTACGGCAGTCCAACACTCCGGCAGCTCCGGGTGAACGGTGAACTTCTTCAGTCGTGATGTACCGCTTTTCTTTTGAACATGGCGCTCCTGTTATAAATTATTTATTACAATCAACTTTTACATAGTTGAGCTGACGATATTAGTGTCATATTAAAGTAAATTAAAAAATATATTGAAACTAAGAATGTTACACTTAATATGAGTTAGTGCATAACTACAATTACAACTGCTTCGTTTGTTTTGTGATCGCAACCGCGATTGTTGATCATGAGAACCAGAGTTCAATTCCCAAGTCAGCCCGAAATCGGCCATTGGGTTTTTGTGTCAATAAATTCTCAGTGGCAGCCCAGAGTTAAGACTTTGGCACTGATTTATCCCGTGACTTGGAAAATACGTACAAACGTTGTTCCTGCGCCTGATCTCACTCTGGTTGCGTTGGAATTCATCGGACTATGAAAATGAGGAGATCGAGTACACGTATGCTTGAAGACACGCTTGTTTAATATGATCCTTTTCTTTGAAGATTTTTCCAAAAAGATTAGAGTGCTCAGCAGAGCAGAACAGTATTTCATGGCAGCTTGCAACTTTACAAGGCGCAGGTTCGGCCTCACATGGAAAACTCTTCTCATCTCTGGGCTGGGGTTCCCCAGTGCCAGAATTTTCTGCTTAACCGCATCTACGCAGAGAGGCTAGAATTGTCGACGATCGATTTATTTCTGATCGGTTCGATTCACTGGCACTTCGAAGAGATGTTGCATCCCTTTGCATTTTTTATCACATTTTCCACGAGGAGTGCTCTGAAGAACTGTCGGTATTGATTGCAGCCGCCAAATTTCATCAACACACATCGCGACAAAACTCACGTTACCGTCCGCATCATTTGGGTGTTTGGCGGTTCACTACTGTGCGATTTACTCGGCAATTTTTCCGGACCAATACAACTCAGGGACCTTCAAGAAACAAGCAATTTCCTTGCAATTTCTTAGGGTGTTGCAGTTCTTTATTGGTGGTGGTCGACACTTACCATCAGGTGAGCCGTATGTTTGCATGTCCTCTCTGCTATTAAAAATGTCTCTGTTGAGACGAGCCGCCGTGACCGAAATTCGGTATGCAGATCATTATTAAGTAAGCGGTAATGAAGATCTAGATGGTAAATCTCACTTTCGGGGAAACGTTAAAGAAATTACCAGTTGCCAATCAAGCCTGATGTAAAACAACTATTATGTCATGTACAATATAAAATGTATTCAATAAATTTTAAAAATTCTTACGTAATAATAGGCCGTTTGAACGAGTTCCTTGATTTTTTCATTGATAAGACAGAAAGTTAAATTGAGACAGTGCACCGAAGGATGCTTATCCCCTAAAAGGTTATGGAACGGTTCTAATGAACAATTGAGCATGCTGAAAGAAGAAACGGTATAGAATTCAAGCAGCTAGGTAATGTAATTTACTAACTTAATTTTTTTTGTACAAAGTGATTCTGAAGCTGGGGCCAATGCATTAAATTGGAAGAGAGTACTACTATAAAAAAATAACAAAAGGTGAGCACTCGCCTAAAATTTGTATGGTACACGAGCAAACCAAGTTAGATCTGCGCCAGTATCAATTAAATTGTTAAAAGCAATTATAAGTTCTAATTAACCACGTGCTACGGTTTAAAGACTATATTGTGAAAAAATCTGCATTATTTTTATAAAGCAGAAGTGATAAACTATCTTTTAGTCTGATGACACCTGATGGTCTGTGGCTGTTGTAGCTGATAGACAATAGATATAACTAACCTCAAATAAAGTACGCTAAGATGCATTGTTGTGTCATAGATGGAATGTTTCATAGCCCGTAATCATACTGGCACTTTTCTAAAGAATAATGGTGACAAATGAGGACACAGTAGACCTGGTGGTAAGTGGATGTTGTGGCCCATAGATATATCTCCATTTATCCTCGATTAAAAATCAAAATACAGATGTGTTGTCAACCTTGAAGACTAAGAAGGAATCCCTTGTTACGAGTAAAAAAGGTCTCCGGTTCTCTACACTCACCATACGAAACAAAGAAGCGTTAAGCTGCTATTTTATGCTAGTGTTCTGTGAGAGCATGATCCTAGCGCAGTCGAGACGACTCATTCGTGCTGCAACCATGATATAGCTGCAGCGTGGCTCTATCACGTAAGAAACTCTATACCCTTCTGACCAGAACAAACGTTGGTTTTTATACGTGGTAGAATCCTGCTGCAGTTATATTAGTAGTATAGTTGTAACACGAATGGGTCGGCTCGACCGGGGAAGGGACACGCTCTTACAGAATTCCAGCGTAAAATAGTAGCTTAATGCTGCTGTGTTTCGTATGGTGAGTGTGGAGAACCGGAGACCCTTTTTACTAGAAACGAAGCATTCCATCTTAGTCCTCAACGTATCTGGATTTTGATTCGTATTCGAGGATTGATCTGTGAGCCACATCAACCACTTACCATCAGGTGGACTGTATGCTCGTTTGTCACCGTATCCTATAAAAAAAGCAGTGCATACACTGCTGCTTGCAGGAAAATTGGTAAGTTGATGTGGTGATGATGGTGTGAACCAAGCAGATTAAGGTTTTCTACCTTAATCTGCTTGGTTGGAGTCCATCCTACCTAACCTAAAAACTAAATGCATTTTGAAAAATATAAAATATATTTCTAGGGAAAAGCAGTGGGGACACATAGAGTGACTTATTAACATCATCATCACTATAGCCCTTCACAAGTCCACTGCTGAACATAGGCCTCCCCCAATTAATGCCACAAAGCGCGGTCCTGAGCCACCTGCATCCATCGACTTCCTGCATCTCTTACCAGATCGTCACAGTTGTGGGTCACCCTACATTTCGCGTAGGCGAGGTACGAGGTTGCTACTCGAGAACCACCATATATTATTAACATTGTGGTAAGTATTGAATAAAACTATTATTTACGGATTTTATCGCGTTTAATTACTTTAATTTATTTTTTATTATTATCCCGACGTTTCGGGTGCTTTACAGCGCCCATGGTCACGGGGGGGGACTGAGATGTTTGACTCCTCCTTCCACAATAGATAGCCAGATGTGAGGCAATGTTCAAGTAGTATTGCATATTCTTGAGGCATGTTATTTTCTTCTAGCTTCCTAGTTACAATTGAGATGCAGTCCACAATAGGTAGGCATGTAAATAGTGACTGAACATCAAAACTGACCATAGTTTCATTGTTAGCGAGATGTAGGTCTTTTATCTCACTCACAAAATGGTATGAATCCTTTGTGTGTGCTCTGGTATGTCCTCTTAGTGGTGATAGTATTTTTTGCTAAGTATTGTGCCAGCTTATAGGTTGGTGAATCGATCTGGCTCACTATGGGACGTAGTAAATCGTCCGTAAATCGGTCCGTAAGTCGTCGTAAATCGGACCAAAAATTAATATTAAAAAACTGAAGGTAGCCGGACTAACTATGACATTGGGACGTCAAACATCTCAGTCCCCCCCGTGACCATGGGCGCTGTAAAGCACCCGAAACGTCGGGATAATAATAAAAATAAATTAAAGTAATTAATCGCGATAAAATCCGTAAATAATAGTTTTATTCAATGTGTAGTGTTCGCGTAAATTTAAGAAATCATTATTGTGGTAAGTAGTTATTATTGGGTATGACGGAAGAAACGTGAGAGTAAAATTAACGCTGTAGAAATACGGTTATTTAAAAGTATGTTATGGTCCGTCTCTGAATAATAGAGTGAGAAATTGCGTGATAAGTGAAAAGTGTGTTTTGCAAGATGATGTTGTCACTGGTATTAAGAAAGAACTGTTTCGGAGGTTTAAACACGTAGAAAAAAAGAATTAGATAATAGTGATCAAAAAAACTGAAGACCAGATACTCTAGTCGACAATTTTGTCGACACTCATCTAGAGCATCTGAAGAAAGAGCCAAATTAAGTGCACCCACACCAAGGATTAAATATGCGTAGATATAATGACGTGAAAGTGAAAGAGGCAATATAGGTATCCCATTATCGTGCTAAATGGACGTCTGTAATCTTTGCCGGCCGCTCCGACAAGTATAAGAGTTTATTATATATATATATATATATATATATATATATATTATACTACGCTGATCCCGCTCACTTTGCTGGTGCCCTTTTCGACGACCCTTTGTCATGTCCTATTAAAAATCCTTAAATTCGCGAAAGAAATTGTGGGTCACTCATGGGCAAAAAAAACTATCCTATCTCTCAAGTTGGACCAAACTGCACAGGGTGTGCAAATTTAATTAAAATCAGGTAAGTAGTTTAGGAGTCCATCGTGGACAAACAACGTGACACGTAATTTATATATATAAAGATATATATATCTTAACTTGAGAGAAAGGATATTGTTTTCCCACATTTTGTGCCCACATTTTTTTCGCGAATTTAAGGATTTTTAATAGGACATAACAAATGGTCGTCGAAAAGGGCACCAGCAAAGTGAGCGGGTATCAGCTAGTATATTATGTAAAGATAAATTGACATACTTAAATGTAAAATGGAGTAATGTTTCATCAAATGAAAATAATGTAATGTGTAATTTTCTGTAAAGTCCTGATTTTTGGAACTAATAGTTTTTTGACATATTATTTATGGGAGTAAGCACACACTGGATATTTTTTACTTTGATCTCGGTAATGCGACATGCATTGGGTCATTTATACAATTTTTGTCAATCTTAACTACCATTTTACCTGATGATGAGTGGTGATGTACTTTATTGTAAGTTAAGTTTAAGTTGTAAATTATGTGCTGTGATTCAAGAAGTTAATGGATGGTTTTTGATTTAAATAAAACTAGTTTTGACAGATTTTATCGCATATATATTAACCAATTTATATTCCCGACGTTTCAAAACTAGTTTTATTTATACTTGTAGTGTTCGCTTAAACATAAGAAATCATTAGTTTTTGTTTTAAATTATGTGTTGTCATTCATGAAGCTAATAAATAATTTTTTACTTACTTGAATATTCCTTCTAGTTGTTGCATTGCTTCGTTCGCTTGTTGTGTATGTTTTTCTAATTTCTGTCTAATTTCATCTACGCTCATTCTACGTTTTTCTAATTCTTCTTTTAATGCGTGTAATTTGTTACTTCGCTTCTCTTCTTCCATTTCATTCCGGTCTCTGCGATCCTCTATTCACACCAGAATAATTAACAACAAATTCTCTTTAGTCGACAAATGATTTTGTTGCGTTTTTATATTTTTATATTCATGACGATGTAATTGCTTTATAGCAGCTATAATTACAGGGAATGGATCTGAATACCTTTTTGACATTTTATTGAGACTTTAACCTCTAATGCAATAAATGAAATTTTTTGTCAAATTATTATTTGATATTTCTTCTTCTTCATCAGTCCTTAAAATACTAACACTAGTTACGAGCGTCTCCCGTTGTAGCGTGGGTGGCTTTGACTTAATCGTTACGTTCGGCAAGCGGTCGCTGTAACAGACGTCTCGTATCTTTAACGCTGCTCCTAGTTGCCGGTCTGTATTTTACGTGTGGTGTTAACGAGATGCTTATACCGCCATCTAACGGAAGCCATAAGTTTCTTTGCCATTTCATATTGTCGCTTTTTTAAAGTATGACACACATGGCATTGAATACGGTGGTGAATTGTTGTACGCTGCTTCCACATAGTACGAATTAATATGTAGTAATTATTAATTGTTATTATACTTGTTTTTAAATAAATACATGCAAGTAAAGGATATCGTTTGGGGAAACCTCATCTGCTTGAATGACGCCCTTTATTTAACGATAAATATAACGTATAACTATAAATAGCAGTGTAAGAATATCCAATACTATATCATTTCGTGTGTGTCGTAAGATGCGATGGAGGGAAACAAATAAGGAGAAGTCCTTCAAATAATAATTCAAATGCGCCCTCCTTTCTGCCAAGGAGGGTCGAATCCGTATACGGCTTAGAGATCTCTCGCCAGATCGGTAAGCCAATCCATAAAGGCGGTGTTTAGTGGGTAAAAGTCTCCACATAACCACGCAGCCGGCTGCGTGGTATGCTATGAGCATTCACCGCCTCCCTCCCCCGCTTTCCGGAGGGTTGCCCATATTTGCTTCGGGCGCAAAAAAAGAACCAAGGGTAACAAGTATGCATAATTTTATTTATCTATTTATTTAAAAATAAACAATACACAATTTATTGACGATTTATTGCCCCTATGAGGCAATCTACGTGGTAGATGTTGTTTAGCAGTCTTTTATAGGTTGTGACAGCAACGGTTTGAAGTATAACCTTTACGATTACTATTAATAAATCTAGTGTAATGTATATACCTAAGTTTTGTCGTACGCGTTGCACATCGCGCCTGAGGACTTTGTTCTCTGCACAGTACTCCGTCAGCAATTTGTAAATGGAGAAACTTTTTTGTTCACTTTGTTCGAAGGCTTCTATTATTTTATTTATGTCCAATTCTTGTGTATAATCCTACTCAAATGGTACTTATTAAAGTTAGGTTAATTTAATACTATCGATTTATATAAAACAAAAAATCTATCTATGTTTGTTATACATTTTGAAACCATTCAACCAATTTTGATTAACTTTTTAGTGTGTGTATGAATGGATTCCTAGATGGTTTATATTTACATTTGGCCCTGGTAGGTGGCGCTGTTGTCGAGATTCAGAAATCCCTTACGAAGCTGGGGCGGATCGCTAGTATTTTATAATTGTTATAGATATGAAAATGTTATAGATATGAAAATGTTATAGATATGAAAATGTTAAAGATATGAAAATGATCGAAATAATATTTAGGAAATGCAAAAGGATAATAATAGGCAAACAATTTAATCAAACCAAAACACACTTCAGCAGCACTTAATAAGTCGGGGTTTTGTACGTGTATTCCTCCTCAAACCAAAACACACTTCAGCAGCACTTAATAAGTCGGGGTTTCGTACGTACGGCTGCGGTGCACGGTATTCCTCCCTCAAACCAAAACACACTTCCACACTTAATAATCGGGGGTTTCGTACGTACGGCTGCGGTGCACGGTATTCCTCCCTCAAAACAAAATTAAAAGTGGGGAATAGAATTGAAAAAAGGCACACTAGTTGGAGGGAAGAAGTATGCAAGATTTCGTGTGAAAAATATTGCAAAGGGCTAGGTTTTTACCGAACAACAATTTCGTTTTAGAAATCCCACTTAGAGTTAAAAGTTGAAATGTTATATTTCAAATATTATTTACAGACAAAACTAAAAATTGAAAATATTTTTACTATTATTTAAATTTATATTATTTACAGAATATTCTACAATGCTACTTTAAATTTTATCAAAAGTCCGAGAGCATATTACATTAGTTATGGAAAATCAAATCAGTAGTCGTTCAAATGTTATTTCTAAATTGATTAAAACTACTTTTACGGATTTTATCGCGTTTTATCTAAAGTAAATATATATTATAATTTATTGCTTTTATTTTAGTTCTTAATTTGTGATGAGATTGGGTAGTAGGTACATAAAAATAAATAAAGAAACATTACGTGTATATCATGAAGTATTTTTATATGAGAATCATATTGTCTCCTGACGTCTTCTTCTATAGCCCTCTTTTGCTCTTCTTCCCGCTCTTCTTGTTTTTTATTTATTCTGATTAAACCTTTTTTGGAAAGAAAGTTAAAAAGCCTCATCTCATGATCAAAAGATTTCTGCAAATCTCGCATTTCCTGTTAACAATAGGAAAAATATTTTAAGTGTATACCAAAAATATAAAAGGCAATCTTTGTATATATGAAATCGTTTAACTCAAAATCTATTTATTTGATCGATCACCATGAAAATTGGTATATATATGTATTTTTCAATAGAGAAATTTTATTTTTATAAACTAAAAAATAAATTAAAAATTAATAAAATTTTAAAATATTTGGTTTTATATGCTTTTTTAATCATGCACCTCAATTAATAAATTAAATTGCACGCGCTTAAATAAAAACGTTGCTGAATACAATCTATATTATAATAGTATGTTATGTAATATGTTATAATCTATATTGTAACCTATGTTATAACATATATAATATATCAACTGGCAGGACAATAATTGCAGGGTTCAGCTAATGTATACCTACACTAAAATTAATGAGAAATACAAAAGTTTATTATGAGGTGGACTGTAAGCTCAATTGTCAATCATACTGTGGCATTGCTATGGTTGAGACATAAACAAAACGCAACGGAGCCTAAATCACGTTATCAAAGTTCCGAAGTACTGCGCTATATATAGAACAGCTCGGTACTAATAAACGGAGCGTTGCGTCGGTGCTCCCCGGGCTGAATACCTTGCCCAGTGGGAGATCTCCTCTTTTCCTCCCACGACCAATCTTACTAATATAAAAAGACTGTAGGTTTTAGCCATTACTAAGGCATTAGATTCTACAAAATTAACTAAATTATAGAAATAATACTTATTTCCATATAAATAAGCCGCATGAGAACTTAAAATAATCCTTTGCCTTGATGTGACCAGACCGGATATTAGTTGTGAGAATTCTGGTGAAGTGGTCATATTAATCCGCTTACCAATGGTGGGTATTTACGAAACTTCTTCCAGTATAAATATGTTCTCTCGCTACTGCGACTACCCGCTACTCCTACTGGAGCTTTTTGATTAGCTCGCGGCCTTGCAGGTCGCAAGCCCTGAGTCAGACGAAGCTGTAAGAGTCGCATAGACTAACAGCACAAACATCTAGATACTAGGGAGCTTTTATAGATTGAGTAGTATTTTTGAATTTTTGTAGCTTTGAGGTGGGATAATGTAGAATGACTTAGGTATATATATTTTTTTACTTTTAAAAAGTGTTTTGTAAAGACTAATATTGAATAAAAATATTTTTAATTGACTTCATGAAAGAAGTCTGTATGAAGTCGTGTAGAGTGGTGTAGTATTAAAAAGCATTGATTTTTTTTAAATCGTTATAAGCCAGTATACGTCCCACTGCTAAGCACAGGCCTCCTCTCATTTCTGAGAGGGTTTTAGGGCAAGGTAATCCGCATTGTTGTATGTTTGTAAACTTCACATGTCCTCAAATTATTTTTTTCTTATTTTTCATATGCAGGTTTCCTCACGATGTTTTCCTTAATCGTCGAGCACGTGGTAAAGGGGGCGTTCATGTATTACATAACGCAATTTGGAGGGAGACCACCTCAAATTGTTTTGTAAAACGTTTCGATGCGTTACAGGGTCGGCGGAGGGTTTCGACAAAGGGTTAGATAAAATTTTGTTTATTCAAATAAAAATTAGAAAATTAAAAAAAATTAGGAATACGGTTTTATTTTGACCAAAATGTTATATTTCAGCTAGGTTTCCGTTTCTAATTGCATGCCAAAAGTTAAAATGAATATGTAATTTTTTATTTTAAGAGTTTATTAGTTAAAAAAATACGAGAATGCATGAGAAGAAAAATGAAGAACAATTTTAAACTTAAGCAAATGTTTATTACACTATGTGTAATTGTTTATTAAATAACAATATGAATAAATATTTTTCATAGGGGGCAAACGAGCATGAGGCTCCCCTGGTGGTAAGTGACTACCGCCACACATGAACAACTGCAACACCAGAGGAATTGCAGGTGCGTTGCCGGCCCTTTAAAAAAGAGTAAGCATTTTCTGTGAAATTCCCTGAAGTTTGTATGTATGGATAGGTTCGAGAGTTTTATCGAGATGTAATTGTGAAATTGAGCGGCTGGAATTAGTTCGAACAATTCCTCAGATCACTCACCGTGGTAGATAGAATAAAATACGCAACGAAATACAACATCCTTTCGCATTGTCAGTGAGTCAAGCCGATCAGAAAAAGTTCGGCCACTGGCAATTCGAACCGCTCTGCGCTGGATGTGATCAAATGGAACGAGCTGGTACTGGTGGCCTTAGCCCAGATATGAGAATAGTACATGTTCTATTGTAAGTTGATCTATATTTTTAAAAATCTTCGACATGTGTCAGACGAAACAATAATAAAATCAACTTACTTCTCACGTTGCCAATCATTGATTACCTATTGCATAACAGCTTGGGGTGGTACCTCTAAATCACATCTACACAAATTAGAACGTGCCCAAAGAGCACTTCTTAAGGTGAGTCATTTCTTTCCGTTTCTCTATCCCACTAAAGACCTATACCGAAGCTGTAAAGTTCTCACGGTCCTCCAATTATTTATCCTCCACACTATTTTAAAACAACATTCTCTGTTATATTACAATCCTTCTCTTCTTACAAATAAAAGAAATAAAAGTAAAATTTGTCCCATTTTACCATACAAAAGAAGCTTTACACATAATTTCTTCTGCTTCTTGGTTTCTCATCTATATAATAAAATTAATTCCATTCTATCTATATCCAAATTGCCCAAATTTAAATGCAAAAAGATGGTAACTCTATGGTTACTAAGTCAAGATTATGAAACGACTGAGTAACTACATAAACTTACTTAAAATCATGAAATAAAACCTAAACGCTATAAACACAAGCACATACACACACACGCGCACACACACACATACACACACACAAACACACACACACACACACACACACACACACACACACACACACACAAAACATTTTTCGTATTTTTTGTATAATTTTTTCTTCTCTTGTTTATCATACACCTAATATTACCTAGATTATAAGGTCTGAAGGTGGGGGTTGGTGATCTGTATACAGGAAATCCTAGTAGTCTCTCACAAATTAATTGTAACATATTAATATTAAGTTGTATGTTTATATTCATTACTAAATTTGTGAGAGGAAAGAATAAACTTATTATTATTATTACTATCGGGGGTATAAATATAGTTTTCTCATCTGGTTGGGTTCTATAAATATATAATTATAAATGAAAATGAAAAGATAAATATACATAAATATCAATAACATAAAATAAATATAAAAATACATATATAAATAAAAGCCCAACCAGATGGAGGCCCTCGGCAGGGGAGACCAAACGGCTGAGGATTAGGGGGAAAGGGAAAGAAACCGGCAGACGATGCAGGCGGTATCGAGGAGCACCGCCTTCTGCATTTGAGCCTTGAGCGGTCCGCCACGTAGTCCCAGCCGCCTCAGATGACCAGAGAGGCTGACTGGGATTAGCCCGTTTGCAGAGACGACTACAGGAATAATTTCGGCCGGCAGACCACCCCACATGTCGGTCACTTCGTGAGCCAGGTCCAGATATTTTGTTTGCTTATCTGTTTCGGCTTTCACTAGGTTCTCATCATACGGAATGGTATATGTCGACCAAAAATATCCTTGACTGTGCCCGGTCCATCAGCACAATATCAGGCTTATTCGCAAGAATAGTCCTGTCTGTGATGATGGCCCGGTCCCAGTAGAGCCTGGCGCGATCATTTTCGAGCACGGCTTCCGGTAAGTACTTGTAATACGGCAATTTCCGATCTACGAGACCGTATTTCAAAGCGAGCTCCTCGTGGAGAATTCTGGCTACTAGGTTGTGCCTGTGCAAGTACTTTGGTCAAGCGTGCATAAAACTAATCGCAAACTGACTGTTTCATACCAGCCTCATCGATACCGATGTTCTGTGACATACCCAGGTATCGGTATGTTTCAGCCTCGGAAAGGGCCCTTTAGTTGACGGGCATAGATAAGTCTATGCCCTCAAAGTTAGCAACCCTTCCCCTTTCAACATGGAGGACCGCACACTTATCCGTCCCCAGCTCCATTCTAATAGAATTGCTAAATTCACAAGTGATGTTTAGCAATTCCACAAGATAGGAGCGACTGGAGGCGAATAATTTGAGGTCATCCATATAGAAAAGGTGGGTCACTTTTGTACTTCCTTTCCGAAGCTGAAATCCCCTCCCGGAGCCCTCCAGTAAAGTACTGAGAGGGTTCAAAGAGAGGCAGAACCAGATTGGACTCAGCAGTCGCCCTGGAATATACCCCTTCTTATCCTTATGCGGCTTTCCGCAGCCGTCATCCGCTCGCCTAGATGACAGAGAATCGTACTCCACTGCCCCATACACTGCTCGAGGAAGTCTCGAACTGTACAGTCAATCTTGTACAGCTCGGGGACCCTCTTTAGCCATGTATGGGGCACCGTGTCAAATGCCTTTCTGTAATCTATCCAGGCGGCGGAGAAGTTCCGACGGTTGCGTTTCACCACTTTGCCAATGACCGCGTCAATGAGGAGTGGTTCCTTGGTTCCACGACCGCCGCTCCGACATCCATTTTGAGCGCGCGACATCACCTGATTTGAGTCCAGGTGACGAGCGATTCTCGCGCTCAAAATGGATGTCAGTGTCTTATATATGGTGGGTAGACACGTGATGGGGCGGTATTTGCTCGGGTCTGTGGCATCCTGATCTTTAGGAACCAAGTGAGTGATCCCAGTAGTGAAGAGGCTCGGGAGTGACTTCTGGTCGAGAGCCTCTTGAAACTGTCGGGCGAGCACAGCGTGACACACTATGAACCCCTTCAGCCAGTAATGATGCAGCCCGTCGAGCCCCGGACTTTTCCAGTTCGGGGCCCTACGGACCGCCTCAGCCACGTCTTCTGGCGTTATGGTGATGGGGTCCATAGGCGTAACACTCGCACCCTGGCTCGCCACAACTTCCATCCAAGGGCCCTCGCTGTGGTTTACGGGCTCTGACCACAGGCCACGCCAGAATGCGATAATGTCAGCCTGATCCGGTCCTTGGCCCGCTCCCCATACCATTGGTCGCTCCAATGATTTATAGAGCCTCTTCTGATCACTCTGGAAGAGACGATTCTGGTTGCACCGCCTTGACCCCTCGGAAAATCGTCTAATCCGCTTCCCCCAAGCAGCGATCTTTTGCTTCAGGTCGTCTATGCGCTCCGTTAGTTTCTGCGTGATATCCGGCTGGGACAAACTGATATTTGTCCCAGCAAACGCCATCCTTACGGTGCGCACAATCCTCGGTCTATTATTACCCGACCTGAAGCTTGTCAGTCTGCCGATAAGGGCCCTTGCCTTTGCGATACGATGGGGTATCTATATAGTTTTCTCATCTGGTTGGGTTCTATAAATATATAATTATAAATGAAAATGAAAAGATAAATATACATAAATATCAATAACATAAAATAAATATATAAAAGTACGTACGTACGTACATAAATAAGTAAAAGCCCAACCAGATGGAGGCCCTCGGCAGGGGAGACCAAACGGCCGAGGATTAGGGGGAAAGGGAAAGAAACCGGCGGACGATGCGGGCGGTATCGAGGAGTACCGCCTTCTGCATTTGAACCTGGAGCGTTCCGCCACGTAGTCCCAGCCGCCTCAGATGACCCGAGAGGCTGACTGGGATTAGCCCGTTTGCAGAGACGACTACAGGTCGATACGATTATTATTATTATTATTATTATTTGAGGCCCAACCTGCTCCATGTAAATTTGCAGTATTTGAGAGAGAGCCTAGCAGATCGCCTTTCTCCTTTGCGGCATGGACCAGTTAGTCGTCCTCCCAGTGCAGAGATGACAGAGATGGCTGACAGAAGTTTTCTTGGACAGCCTTGGCGAGAGACCAGAATATACATGTTCTCGAAGTTAAGAGGACTACTGTTTGCACCTCGAGACGTTGATGCATCAACCCAGGTCCGGTAGCATTCCTGTTTATGGCGTGATGCAATTTTACAGGAGTAAACCGTGGCAACTTCTGTCTCCAATATGCACCACAGAAAATGGAATAAATAGTTCCATTCCTGAAGTATCACATGAGCAACAGAATCAGCAACAACGTTGGGATCATACGGCGAGAAGCAAACTTGCTCCCAAAGGTAGGATGCAAAAAAAGACCTTATCCTATCCCAATCGGCCGACCTATTGTGCCAAACACGGCGACAACATGCAGAACGCCAATGCGATTGAAGCGTGAGTGGCACGGTACTCCGCATCAGACAATGGACTAATTCTTCAGTCCATTGTCTGATGCGCATTGACGGTGACGTACGGATGAAAGATCTTCCACATCTGAGATCCGCGTAGGAAAACCAGTTGTGTCATACAATGTGCCAAGGCAAAGATCATTAACAGATCTGCCCGCATGATCAGTTAAACAGGAACGAAGCCATTCAGCGTGGTGGCCGTCAAAATCACCGAGCATCACAATCTATGCGGATACCGGACCGCTTTATATATGGGTGCTACAATAGGTCCCCTATTGTAGCACCCATATATAAAGCGGTCATCGCTGTCTACATGCAGCCACAGGATGGACAGGACCGTACCTTCAAGACCGTCAATGTGTAGAAAATAGATCTCTTTTCTGACGTATACGCAAATTTAAGCCCGGGGCACAAGGAGTGTTCTTATTTGTAACCTGGGTAGGAGAGATACGAAGTATCAACTGAAGAGGAAACCTGTGTTCCCGCTTAGAAAGTGCAAAGCTGACTTCGCATTCTCCAGATGATAGTGAACGGCGTTAAGAATGGTGTGAAGTCCCCTGATGTTGAAATTCACGGATAGCGTGGCAGGGGTTGCCTTTGTTAGCCTAAGCACCCACGCAGGAAGAGTAGGGTAGATTGTGCGTAGATGTTTAGCGAGAAATTCCCCGTCACCAGGGGTGCTTGCACGCTGAGGTAGTCATCTATTTAATTCTACTACCATATTAAGGAGGGGGGATTGGGCCTCCGGTCACCTGCACTCACCAGGCTAAACGCAGAAGTAATATTCTTCTTTTCGCTGGTATTCTATTCGGTCGTGATACAACCCAGGTTACGTAGGACACTCAATACTACTACTAATATAATAATAGGGGAGGTGGCGCTAGTTGTCACGGTGAACATCAAACTCCGTATTAAATTTATTTAAATTAAAAAATAGTGCTCTAAGCACAGGAAATCAGTGCGTTTTATATAAAAATAGATACAATAGAGCGATGGAAATGTTATCCCAGTGAAATCTAGTGTATATGTTGTGAAAACAATCAGTATTGACAAGGCAGTCCACACCGTAATAAAAGTACGAAGCGATCAAGTGCAGGTAAATTAATAAATGTCCTCTCTATAGTTTTTCTACAACCCATAACGTAAGTCAGAAGTAATCCATAAAATATTGAATTTTCTATTTTTCCACAACTGGTTAAATGTTAGCTGCTTTAAACACAAGTCAGCTGACCAATCCGCTGATTCTATTCTATCTTCTCAAAGTGAACTAGATGGCGTTGTAAATCGCCATCTACCGGAAATGCAATGAACTAAAACTATTCTAACGATAGATAGTCCATCGACGATAAATCGCATGCTTTGTTGGGGTATAATAATAGTACAGCTACAATACAATAGATGGCAATAACTCGAAAACAAAAATTATTTTAATTTGTTTTACAAGAGAAAGGAAAGACTTCAAAATGTCGAAAAACTATTTTAAATGCAGAGAAATAATAACAAAAGGACTTTATTGAATGCTCCAACAGTAAGAAATTCTTTCACTTAGAATGCACAAGCATAGGAGAAAAGTTTTTCTTCTTATTAGATGTCAAAAAAAAAGAAAAAAATGCCTATGCGATTTATTTAAATATCAAAAACTACCAAATTTAGTCCAACAAGATATAAATATACCCACAACTAACTCTTTCGATGCACTAGACGTGGATGACGAGTACGCAGAATTTGTCACCTTCCGTCAGAAATATAAAAAACTTTTATGTGTCTGGGAGTATCCAGATTTATCAGACTCATTTATGTCAACGACTAATTCCCACCCTCATTTATTAAATTTACAAAAAACCTCTCGCAGTCTGCCAGACGACAACTTAAGAGATTGTTTAATGATACAAGAGTTAAAAGAAGAAGTTTCAAGGTTACGTACAGAACTGATCGTAGCAAATAAAGAGGTGGACAATTTAAACATAACGAATAGAAAACTTAACAAAAAAAAATTTAGAACAAAAGAAAATTATAAAACTATACAAAAGTGTAAGTATCGATGACGTAAAATTGAGAAAAACAGCCAATAATTCCTATAACTAAACACCTTTAAGTAAACCCAAAAAACAAAACAGGAAAAGTTTAAAGTCAGATACACGCCATAGTTCTGAATGTGTTGAACGAATAAAGCTTAAAGAAACACTGCCTGCTACTCATCCTGAAAAATATGTAAATGATAGAAACCGCTTTTAAGCCGAATCGCTAACCTCAAAAACTAAGACTAGTGAAGAAACTTGCGAATATCCCCCGAAAAGGAATCTGTGCATCATTAGCAGCATCCGAAGCAATAAAATGGCGACTACAATGAGAAACCACTTCGAAACGCAAAACATCTGCCACTACCGCACAGCAGGAGGTGGTATTAACCAACCGTTAAGTGGTCTACAAACAAAACTTGAGAATTACACCCTTAATAATTTTTGTATTTTAATTGTAGGTGAAACTGATTTTGATGTTTCCAAAAATTATAATATCTTAGTAATGAATATAAGGAAGACTCTTTTGACCGTTCAGCGCACAAACATTTTGATATGTTTGCCTACTCTTAAATTTTGTTACCACTCTAATATTTATAATAGACGAATTGAAACCTTTAATAACCTATTATACTCTGATATAAAAATTTTGACTATTCTACTAATATGTTCTCAATATATAATGGAAAATTAAATAAATGCGGATTAAAGACAATTTTGAATGACATAAACGAATTTATAAGAACATTTGATAATGTAACATTGAGTGAAAATTGACGAATGGAAGATATCTCTGATCTAACAGTAATAACGTGTCAAAAAAGTAAAATTGAGACAGAAAAGTCTTCTTTTCACCCCTAAATGCTATAAAATTATGTGTCAAAACATTCAATGTCTATCTAACAAAATTGACGACTTAAACGACGAAGTTAATGTAGATATATTAATCGTGAATGAACATTGGTTATTACCTATTAACTATTATTTTTACACATTAGAGGGCTGCGAACTACGTGCGAAGTATTTGAGACAAAAACATATACAAGGTTAGTATCTCTGTTAGAAAAAACATGAAAACTAAAGAACGTTTAGACATTCAATTATTCACAGTAGAATTGTGTGCGTTGGAGATTACTGAATCTAACTTATTGATTATGGCTATCTATCGCTGTGAGAGGGAAATAGAAACATTTTTCGTTCAAATGCAAGCTTTACTAAGCCTTTTATCCAAACATGCTCATAATTAAAAAAAATTATAGCGCAGGATACAAAAATATTTCGTAGACTTATCAATCTTTTAAAATCTTTCGGGTTGCGCTGTCTTATAGAAACCCCTACACGTGAGACCCAAAACAGTAAATCATGCATTGACCAAATTATAATTTCTAAAAATAAATTCACACATAAGGTATAAACATTGAGGAAGTTCGCAAATTTTCACTTCTCGGGACTACAGACTCAACTTTTTCATGGAAAAGTCATGTAAAAAGAGCAGTGAGTAAGTTGAGCAGTTTTTGCTATGCCCTGCGTGAGCTACGTAAGGATACTAATGAACAGTACGCACTTACGCGTACCACAACGCCGCTGCCTGGATAAGATACGGCATCATATTCTGGAGAAAAGCTACCGAGGTACACGCTGTATCCATGCTCCAAAACCGTTGCCTTAGAATCCTCACATTCGCAGCTCCAAGAGAGTCATGTCGAAGGTTGTTTCCCAGATATAACTAACTAACTGTAACGTGCATGTACACTTTTGAACTATGCCGCTTTGATAGGAAAAATCCTCATTATTTCCAGCGATTTGAAGATAGACCCAGTCGATACCGCACACACTGAGGTTATAATCTGGTTGCTCCTGCCACACATCTCACATTATATAAAAATGGTCCCTACTACATGGATATAAGGGTTTACAACCATATACCTAATAAAATAAAAGCCCTCCAGTATCGTAAATTTAAAAAAGTAATAGTAATAATGCTCATTGTGAAA